AGGGGTGGGGGGGAAACGAGAATGGCAAAAACATAATCACGCCGAGGATCTTCTCCAGTCGCCCGTGTCTTTCACAAGGGGAAGTGTGCGCATGCGAGACATGAAGATGTGGACTCTGACAGGGAAACACGGCCGCCAGTCACGCCCCTAAGCCAAGCCAGTCTTCCCCCCCACCGCCGGCCTCCGCGCCGGCCAGGGAGGGGCTCGCTCGAAGCTTTGGTTTGCCCCGGGCTCTTCGGGGCTCGCTCGTGGCCGACCCAAGTTCTAGTTCAAAAACTTCCTGCACTTCTTGGCGCCGCAGTTGCAGGGCAGTTTGTTGCTGGCATCTTCGATGGGGAACTTGTAGTCGTAGGTGAGCTCTTCACCCCGGTAGATCTTGCGCATGGCGAAGATGACGATGTGTTTCTGGCCATCGATGTTGATGACCCGGGAGTAGCAGTTGGGCTCGCAGGAGTGATTGATGAAGCGGGCCGCGTTGCCGTGCATGGTGGCATCCACCACTTCGGAGCCGTCAATGCGGAACATGTAGCAACCGATCCCCTACGCACGGAGGACAGGGAGAGGGTTAGCTTGGGGCAGCGACGATGGAGCCGCCCTGGCAGAGCACCTAGCCGATTACAGCAACCGCAACTCCAGCCCTTAAGAGTCTTGGCAACCTCTCTGCGCTCCTCTCCATAAGCTCCCGCTCAAATAATTTCAGCCCCACGCTCTCCGGGCCTGCCACGCTGAGACTGGGCCAAAGCTCTTGCCAGCCCAGGGGCGAACGTCCGTGGCACCTCTAGAGCTCCAGCAAGGACAGAAATATCTCGAGAAACACCTGCAATCCCAACTCGCGGTGCTCCAAACGCAGTTTTTGCATAAGCCTGTCCTACCTTCACAGCCACCTTCTAGTTCTCCCAAACTCTTTAAGAACTTCTACGAAAGCCCATAACTCACCTTACTGTCGTAGTATTTCTCTCGTTTGTCAGTGAGGATGGAGCGAATGACATTGCCTGAATATTCGATCACCATCTCACCTGCATCGATGTTCCTTTTGCAGAACAGACCCCGGCCATGGATGGGAGACCTAGAAAAGCAACGAGGCATGTGAATGTTCCAAAGGATACAAGCGAGGCTTGGGAACGTTAAGATTGCAAACGCTGCAGAAAAGAGGATGCTTGTTACGAGGACTGCTGCGGTATCTTTATGCCACTGCATCGTGACGCTAACAGGAACGACGCTGGGTCTGCTCTGCCCGCTCCCAAGCACGTGCCCTAGCTACCACCAAGGTAAGCACGACAAGCAAGGAACAGGTGGCTTGTGCTGAGGATTCCTTTAAAAGTAGATAACTTGAGTGGGGAGAAGGAGGAGGAAAGAACCCTGAACCCACCCTTTCCCCTCCGTTTTGCAGTCTGACTCCACAGCAAGTTTCGGTTTTCACCTGCCCACTTCAGAGGCAGCGCTACCAGAACAAAACCCTACCTGTAGACACCAACTGCCTCCTTGGAAGTCTTCTTCAAGTGTCGGAAGCGCATGGGCATCGGCAGATCCATACTAGTCGCCCTCCTAGAACAAGGAGACACTGCTAAGCCACGAGCTTTACTCGAGAGTCTGCACCACATGTTATCTGCGATACTTTCCAAGAAGGAACAATAATAATTTACACGTTGCAGCCCACTGAGAGCACCATCAAAATACCAGGAAGAATGTTTTTACACTGAGGGTGCTGAAAGACTGGCACAGGTTGTCCCATGAGGTGGAAGAAACCCCCTCCCTGGAAAGATTCAGGGCTGGCCTGGGCAGGGCTCTCCCAAGCAACCAGGTCTAGCGGAAGATGTCCCTGCCCACTGCAGCGGGGCTGGACTTGGCAACCTTTAGAGATCCCTTCCAACCCAACGCACCCGAAAGCTCTACAAAGCTCTGCTGCATACCGGGCTGATTTCAGCTGTACTTCTTCCTCCTCCTCGTCATTTGGGTTGTATTCAGGTGGCTGCCGGTGTTTGGAAGCCAAGAAATTAAACATATCAAACGCAGATTTCCTGCAATTTAGAGGAAAGGAAGTTTGTTCTGCTGACTGAAAATAAACACACGGCTGCCACAACAGTTTTATGCGCTTACTGCCCGACACCTTCTGCTGTCTGCCCTGTCTTAAAGCGTCAGGGTGACACGCAATGGTTTCTGAGGACCGTGAACAAAAGCATCAGCCAGGAAAGCTTTGTTAAACAAAGCTGCAGTCCACAGAGCGGCACAGAAAAATGTGCAGACTCAGAAGACGCACCCGAAAGCCGCTACCACTTCTTTTCAACCGAGAGTGTTAGAGCTGCAGAGATTTGTTGCTTATGCCTGGCCATGAAGCTGGTTACTTGAGCAAACGGGCCGTTAACCCCAGCAATGACGAAGCTGGCACTTGCCTCAGGTGGACTTCAGCCCTGGCAGAGCCGTGTGGATTCAGCGGAGGTTCGTTGGCCTCCTCTGGCTTATGAAATCGGAACTTGTAGTTGTGGCAGTGCTTTGCTCCGTACAGTTGCTCAATCAGGAACACAACCGTGTCGTGGATAATCCCCAGCATCCTCAAACCGTTCACACCTGGAAGGAGAAATAGAGCACAACAAAAAAATCCCAACTGACAATGCAGACCTGGAGCAGGACCATGGCAGCTGGCGAAATGCAACCCACACGGCGGCCTGTGACGCCACAGAAGGGCCGCATTAGCTAGTTGGGTCCCCGTGAGAGCTTTCAGTTATTTCGTTGGGAAGAAATCATCCTCCATGAAGCGGTTTGCAGCTAAGCTGAAACGCTTAAGGTGCTGGACCCCAGGGGGCTTGTGGACACACCAGCTTGCTCTCACATGTTCCACCGGGCAGTCGAATCGAGCCTGGTGCCGGCTATTACCTGCAAAGGACAGCTGCTTCAGGCGGGCGTTCGAGCGGGCTTCTTGAACTTTGTCCGTCAGTGACTTCCAGGCATCTGCAGTCACACAAACACAAGCACAAGACGGTGAAAGAGGATCCGATGCTGCGTGCCCAGGACTGACATTGTTAGGAACTAGGATTGTCCTAGCACTGGAAATCAAAGCGACTCATTAAATCCATACAACAGCAAGTAAGAGACCCTCAGAAGCCGCGATTTCACTTCTAGCAGGGAAAGCTGAAATGTATATAACCAAAAACACACGGTTCTCACCTTCGATGCTTTCTGCGCAGATTTGAAAACCATCATCGCTAGAGATCTCAAAAACCAAACCTTTCTTTGGTTTCTTCTCTCTTCTGCTCTTGCTGAAGCCAAAACATAAGTGGAGAGCTGAAGGTGCTCTCCTCCTCCTCAAGAGCTTTTGAGCCTGGAACAGACAGACACCAGCATGAGGACGGAAACTGGGCAGATGATGCTTTTTCCACCAGTTACTCCACAACTGTAAATTACTTTCTAGTTTGCTCTTTGGCCAGTAAATCTGTCCAAGAGAAAAATCTAGACAGCATTGTAGTAAGAGTGTGAAATCTGTAGTGCTGAAATTTCCACAAACTAGAGATGCAACTACCTGCCCAATCTCTAGTAAAACAGCAAACAAACCTCTCCCCCCTCCAAAGCAAGACAAACATGGTTGGTAGCTCTGAGATTTCTCCTGAGAGGATAAGACACACAAAAATCAAAACTTCAACATTTCCCAGTCCTGCAGAATCCCAAGACTCTGTACATTTGAAGCAGTGACACACCTGTGTTTTCTTGCTCATTCGCTGAGTTCTGTGCTGACTGAGATTCTGGGAGGACTGCCGTTTGCCTGGGGAGGGAAGAACGTGAACACGGAGAGAAATATTTAACAGCCTGGCTCATTTCCTCACCGCACAGGTGCCTACGGAACTTTGAGAACTAGCCAGAGACATGAGAATCTTCTTCCAGGTCAAATCTGCTAACATCTGTTCAAGTGGCAACAAAGGCACAAAGAAATTGTTCTCGGCAGCATTTATTTCTGAGGCACCTATCAGCCTGTGGGCAGCAGTCACGTTTCCTCCAGCCTGTGGCCCGCTCTTTGCGTCACCCCGACTCGATAACCCGGCACACGCGCACGTGCCCTCAGCCAGTGCCGCATGAGTGCTCGTCTGCTCAGCAAGCGGTCAGCTCCCTGGAGCCACACGCAACTGAATTTAAGAAACGGCCTCACGGTGCCACTGCAGGCGGCTGCTCATGCCAGGCTGAAAGCTCCTGAGACAGCTTGACCAGCAAGGTACCACTTCTCATGTTCTCCGTATAAACATCCTTAAAAGCTCGAGGGAGCAGAACCTGATGGAGAGGTCTGCCCAGTGCTTACCCTGCAGACTGGCCACGTTGTTTCTGCGATGGCTGCTCTGTGCTCACTGCGTCCTGCGCGTCTGCCTTCGTAGCCGTAGTCCTGGAGCAGAAACATTTGGGAACATTCAAAATACCTGCCGAGATGTTGGTGTCAAAACTGAGACTGGAAAGCTGTGGCGAGTGCCATGAGCGTTCCGGCAGTTCTGCAGCATTACCAAAGTCATAACAACTGCTCCTAAGGTATGAAGAAGCAGCTCACGCTTCCAACACCATGCCAGAAGGGAGACTTCAAGGGGGAGGAGGAGCACAAATCCGGGGGCGAGAGAAAACAGGCTTGAGCAACCACAAGCAGCGAGCTCGCGGCAGAACAAGAAACTGGTTACACAAAACCTTTGCAGACTAAAACTAACCGGCAAGCGTCAGCAACTGAAAAAGAGCAATTTCAAAAGGTTAAGCTGTCTAAAGAGTTTTGGGTCACTGTTTTAAGCACCAGAGTTATGACAAGAGGCTAAGATGATCAAGGAACGGCACAAGCCACTTGTGACATTTCTCAGTTTCCAGGTGTTTCAGAGGGCTATTTTCTCTACCGCTATCTCTAAAATGCTCCTGAATTTTCCAGACCCATCAACAACCAGCAATGTCCTCATAACCCCCATCCTCAAAGCCTTCAGTTTTTCTTCTGAAAATTTCTGGAAGTAAAACTTCAAGTAACTTCCTTACATATCTACTTTCTGCGGGCAGCTAAGAGTTTTACCTTAGAAATTATCAAAAGGAAAACTGCTGTGGAAACCATCGTGAGATTCTTTCTCACACTGTTACAAAACCTCGGGGATCAGTAAAATCAAACATGCCTCTTACCCTGTAGCCATGACCTGGGGGACAGCGATGGCCCCTCTGTCGGGAACACGTGCTTCAGAGGAACCGGTCCACAAGTGAGAGGTTTTGTGCTTCTTTCCGTTCCCTTTGTCCAACAACGGCTGGATGCGTTTGATTTTCGGCTTGGCTTTCACGGGACCCAGCCCAGAGCTGCTGGCGGATTGCTGTCCGGATGACGGGGAGCCTCCGGGAGATGCCGAGCTGGCGTGCATCACTGACGAGGAAGCCTTGTTTTGTTCGAGGCCAGTAGTACTGGGAACATCGACCAGCTGCGGGAAATTGGACAACTGCGTCGTTGCCGAAGCCGCACCAAGGTCCAGCTGGGAGGAAGCGACCGTGGTCTTGCTGGCGAGGAGCTGCGTCATGTGCTGGAGCTGGTAAGAGCCTTCCGGGTCAGCGGACGATGGAGCAACCGTCATGCCCATTGTCTGTGCCGAAGGCAACACGCATATGCTTGACGCGGCCGTCATTGCGGCCGTTGATGGAGTTTGGGATGCTCCCAGCTGCGAAAACATCCCGGAACTTGGCGGTAAAGTCATGTGCTGCTCCTGAAGGCCGAGGCTCTGCTGACTAGCTTTGATCAGGAGGTTGCTTATGGAACCCAGGTCCCCCAACAGCCCAGGGCTAGTTAACGTCACTGAACTCTGCCCCAAAACGTGACTGGGAACGGACCCACTTGTAGTGGAGGCTGCCGTGGCCTGCATGGATACGACGTTCAGCACAGAGGAGCTTGACGTCAGGCCTGGCACGGGCCCTGCAGGGAGGTGACCAGCATCTGGCCCGATAACGCTTGGAGATGTGCCGACGGCAGCAGCAGTCCCACCTTGTGGGAGCAAAGACGTCTGCTCAAAATACATAACCCCAGACTTGGACCTTTTGATAATATTGGGGACGGTTCTGTGGGACGTCGAATTTGCGATGGTGCCCAAGTCCAGCGGGTGGTTGGAAATTTGGGAAGGAGCAAAATTAATCAGGGTCATGTTGGAGACCATGTCGGGAGGAGCTATAGCAGAGGAGGTTCCGGAGGGCGCCAGCTTCTTATTCTTCCGCGACTGCAGGCGAGATATGGGCCGTTTCTTGCCCAGGGCTGCAGCCG